CCAGTCTTCATATAGATTAGCTATACATTTTTGCAGCTTCCCTGCCAGCTCTCTGACAGAAATCTATTACACCAGTTACAGGTTACTGGCTTCATGCCTACAAACTTCCAGTTACTTGTAAACATGCTAAAAAAACTTGACCAACATCCAAAAATTTTGTAAAAATCACAGTCAAATGACCTAATACTGAATGAAGTAGAAGTTCTAATAATCCAAACGAGGTATCGGGTTTTTACGGATCATTACCAGCTTCCACAGAGAAGTGAAACATTCACCTGGTACTTGCTATCCAAGATTCAAGCCTTCATGCCTGACAAAACTGGGAAATATCATAGATCATCTCCATCTGGAAGGGATCCAAAAGGACCGTCGAGTCCAACTCCTTGCTCCGCACAGGACTACCAAAAACTAAACCATTTGACCCAGAGCATTATCCAGATGCTCCTTGAACGCCAACAGGCTTGGTGCCGTGACCACGTCCCTGGGGAAACTGTTCCAGTGACCGACCACCCTCTCAGTGAGAACCTTTTCCCAGTCTCCAGGCTGAACCTCCCCTGATGCAGCTTCATCCTCTTTCCTCGTGTCCTATGGCTGTTCCCCAGTGCGAGGAGATCAGCACCTCCTCCTGCACTGCCCTCCTTGAGGAGGCTGTAGACTCCGATCAAATTAGTTGTGATCATTTTCACATTCTCATATTAAAAACGCATCTCGATTTTACGTCTTTTTGACGTGTTCTCTGCACTTCCTTTTCTTTCCTGTATAATAACGCCAGCTTTCCTGCACTGACACATCTGAACGTATCCTTCCACTCCCGTCTTTGCTTTCTCCCTTAAGAAAAAACCAAAACCACAACAGCATTTAAGACTGACATTTCGTTTTTCATCAGGTTTTCCATATTTTGGAAGTGGGCAGAAAGGTACTGCAGGAATACTAGATACTAAAAACCACTGTCGCTATTCCTGCTAACGCTGGAGAGCAAAGATCCCCTTGCAAAGACGTACCTAGTCGCTATAAAAGAGTGACTGCACCGAAACAGATGGCAAGCACGCTACAAAAATCCTTAACACCTCGTTACGGAGAAAATTAAGTTCTGTTGTACATCGCCACAGACAAACAGCAGCAATCCGTCAATCACGTTAGCCCTCTCGTGTCACATTTATCAAAGTGGAACAAGTTCAAACGACAACGCACACAACTCGAAGCATTCAGAAACCCATGAAGAAACTATGTAATCTCAATTACCATGGTGATGAAGCTAGAAATGTTTATCGATATATACTGAAACTTGAATATGTAAGTCATGAAAATGACTTGAATACATGGTTTTGCTTAAGTCTGGGCAGAATTAGAGCTCCAGGAAAGGAAAGCTTCCACTTCTCTCAGTGTTTCTCTATGCTGCAGGCTTACAGATTCGTTCCTAGAGATCTAACTACGGCAAGACAACGGTCAACACAAGGTAGAGTACTTCCCAGCTTCTGGGTTCCCATGGCTAACTCCATGCCATCCAGCAATACTAGCCAGACTGGAAAACAAGAAAACCCACAGACATAATTACACTTCTCTGCAACACAGGCTACAATATTCACTTGAAAAATACCATTTCTAATAGCTTTCAAATTACTTTTTCATTTTTTCTGATGTTATTATCATGAAATTGTTATTTACATAACCTTCTCCAGCTCCCTAGTTCCCTTACAACTGCCCATAGCAGGGTCTGTACTCAGAATTTTGCATTTACTGTCCTTTCTTCCCCATTCACGTAATCAACCATCTACTTTTCTCATTGACTAAAATATTCCTGCTTGCTTCTGAGTTATAAACGGAAGAGGCACTTCTCAGTTGTCGTCTTGCATCTGCACGCTGTGCAATACTGCATACTAGCATTAGCTGCAATGCTTACAAATTCTGGACTCATTCCACTTTACACCTGAGATCAAGAAGAACCAATTGTGTCCCTTTACAGCTCCAAGAAAAGCTCTCACAGTTTTAAGACAGAGCATCCTTGTTCCACATGTTTTAAAACACTATTATGTGTGGTTGTTATTACATGTTATTAATAAATGTGTAATTATGACTCTGTGTGTTACTAAGTTGTATGCCCTCTTCGCATCTCCAAAACATATTCCAAACCATCAGCAAGCTACAGTATCTAAATAACAATATCTGAACTCATCAGCTCATCCCTTCAACTGTCTTATTTAGGAACACTATGCACATTAGAAACCAAAAATGTACCTTAACACAAGCCAGGGAGAGCATCTAGCATGTCTGTTCAAGACAGAGGACTGTATTTCAGCTAACACATACAAATTTCTTTTATTCTCTTCTATTCAGGCCTCTTCCTGTCTTAGTATGAGTGTATTACAAAATTTCAAGTTGAAGCAATAGATACACGACTTGGAACTAAACTGGTTTAAGCACACTGCTGTCCCTCAGAGCTGCTTTGAAATTAATCAGGCCTATTTAAAAAAAGAACAAGACAATAACCAGCAAATATTCAAGGTTTACATACAGAAAAGCCTTTCACTTAAGTTGTTAGTATTTGTGATGCAGTCACCAGTTAACATATGGATCTTCAGCTCAAATGAGTCATTAATTTCGCTGCAGAAATGCTGTTGGTGCATCTTCCAGTCAAATACAATGTTAACTTTTTCCTTTGCCATTAGAGTGAGCAATTGAACATTTCACTCCCGACTGGTTCTTTGGCTTAAGAGTCACACTCTGAAATTGAAAACTGCTTGCTCCAACAAAACACACCTCTCGACAGAACCAGAAAACATTTAATTTCCTGAGTCTGAAGGCACCCCCATTCTAGGCCAAAAGGGAAAAAAAAAAAAAGCTCTGCTGGGGGAGAAGGGAGCTTCAAGCTGAAATACAACATCCAAACCATTATACACATCTTACTGAGACACCCAAGTAAAATCTTCATTCAAAAAGAACTCTACACCCATTATTTACCCAAATCCTTAAACATTACTTTTTCATTATAAAGTTCAGGAATCCACAACATATGATCTGTAAAAGCTGCTGCAAATATGCTGAAATAGATGCCAATGACCAACCTCATACAAGACAGACCGATCTCCAAAGAAATTCCAGCATAATTCAACAGACGGATGGGTCTCAGTAAATTTCAGGGAAGGCAGATTACCTATGTAGCCACTAGAGTCTTCCAAAACTATAATAATTAATTCCCGGTTTAGAGATTAAGAAGGCCCTAAAAAGCTTTCTATTAAAACTCAAAGCAAATACCTCATTCTCAGTCTCCTAGAAGATGTGGAATATGTGCAACTGAGCAGCTGCAAGCTGACTCCACGGTGGGATATGCTGCTCAAACACACCCAAAACGACATCAAGTACAGATAGCAGACAAAAAGAAAGCAAAAAAAAAAAAAAGCAAGAAATAGCACAAACTACATGAAAATAGATGTATTTTAAGCTGAGAGCAGCAAATCAAACGTGGCTTCAGTGTATTGTTCTTTCTTTGGACTATAGAAGAAACAGAAAGGAAGGAAACAGAAGTCTTCCAAAACAAACAGAAGTTTCTTATATAGGATTGAAACAGGAAAATAATCTCTATCCACTAACAACTTATGAGTTCTTCAAACTCTCCAAGTAAAAGGAGAGGTGTCAACCAATAAGAAAGCACAAAATATAACAGGAGGGCATATTTGCTGAGGGATTTGCTTTTATCAGAAGTAATTTACTCCACTAAATGGGAGTAAAACCACCAAGAAGCTGAGAAAAGTCTAGTCACTGGCGAGGTTCCACTCAACTGCAATTTGCCATACACCACTTCAAACAGAGCAGCAGATCCAAGCTTCAACTTGAGGTGCCTCCTTCCAGCATCTCCGTGGATTCGCTCTCTGAAGTGTGATGGGAATCATTTGCCAGCACCCAGGAAGTAAATCACCTTTCCAGAATGAACTTCAGTAAAAACAGTTTCATCTGACAAGAAAATGAAGTTGACTTTCGGGGTCACAATGATTTCGTAGCATCCCAGGAAGTCAACTAAAACAAGCAACTCTGCCTTTTTATAATACTGACATAGAGGGGAAAAAGGTTCACAGCTCTCACATCACCATTTGCCAGCAAACTAGAAAGCTGCTTCTTTTCAAAATATATAAGCTTTATATTATTTATCTATACATTATATGCATATTAGAATTATATCACATAAATATATTTTTACATATATAAATAAAATTTATACTTGAAGGCTTCAGACACAGAAAAACACTGATCTGAGTGTCAGAAGGAAGGTACCAGTAATGAGACATCTTAGAACGTTCACCACAGCCCAAGCCAGATAATTCAGTTCAGTAATTGTATTCCCTTCACTAGATAAATTTAAGCATATACTGATTCACAAAATATAAATGTTTACATTCAATTAAGCTTAAAATAGTCCAAAAATAGACTTCCTTGAAGATTCTCAAATAAGATTTCAACTACAATACCAGCTAGTTAGTACTTCACAGATAAGCAGCTTGATATACTTTTCTTCAGAAGATAATTAGCATGTTAAAAATCTTTAGTCTCTAAAATATATTTAAAAAGTATCAACCTTTTCCACTATGATGAGGTCTCCAACTTGTATGTCTGAACTCTTAACTTGCACTTTACCTTAAAAAAAAGAAGAAATGTAATCAACTTAGGCAGACATTAATAAAGAGTCACAAGAATATAAATCCCAGAATACAAATTATACTTCAAGACATTATTGTTTGGTGAAAATGTTACAATTTATACAAAATGGATCTCTGTTGAACACAATAAATAGGTTTCATCCATTTGAAATAATAACTCATTGGGTTAAAAAGTCTAGTTTTGTAACCAGTTTGTTATTGTGTTAGAGGGAAAAACTATGTGTGGAAGACGCTCAAGCCTGGTCTACGGTATCAATAACAGAGTTGTAAAGTTGGAAAAAGGAGTCTCTCACATCTACCAGGAGACAACACTTCTATTTCTGACGAGTCAAGAGTTGTTAGGCGGACAGTCACCCAACATCATCACACACACGAGTTGTTAGTCACAGCCCAGTTACCAACAGGTAGCCTTGCCCAGCCACTAAAGCCACTGATGCAACTGGCATGGTCTGAGGTTTGTTGGCAATTATAGTGGAAAAGAGGTCAGTCTCTCCAAAGTCAGAAGAAATGCCCGAAGATTTCATATCAGAAAAGTAACATGTCAAAAGCTGAAATAGAGGTTTTGCATTCTCTCCAGCTGCCCATTCGGCAACTGCTGCCACCAACTCATTCAAAAATACACAGCACACATACCAATTTAATTTATCCATGTTCTGTAGGGTACTAATATTTGTAAGACTGTTAAGTTTTAATGTTCTTATTTGAAGGACTGAAAAACTGAGACAGAGAGGTTAAGTTCCTGCCCAAAATGATTTATTGTTGATCTCATTAGAATTCTGGAGTTCTAGTCCCAGGTCCTTGCTACAATTCCAGAAAAAGTTGCTTCCCTGAGTTAAGAAAAAGCCCAAATAAGTAAAAAAAAAAAACAAACACCCTTTGTAGACAAACAAGTCCTGACATATAGATATCCTCTTCCAAGATATAACAGGTGATAAATCCAGAACCTGTTAACTCAGGATATAAACACATCCATATTTACACAGCCTTATGAGCTGAAACACACACCAACAGGAAATATCTTTTCCCATCAGAAACACTATCGTGATTCCAAGAAGCAGGTACCTGATCAGCAGGTGTCAGATGGCAAGTAGGTACCTACAAGGGTAGGTGCTAGGGTTCTAAATTAAAATCACACTGAACAAATTAGAACAGAAGACCCAAAAAAGCACAGGATGAGCAGCGATCGCTTTGGAGTTTAGTCAAAAGTACTACGAATAGTAGATTTGTCAATAATAAATTCCTGTAGCTAACTTTTAATACATTTTCCATTACATTAGCACTTCTAAAACCGTGTTGGCAGAGGAAAATCAGAACTTTTGTTTGCCTGTCTGCAAAGTTATTTCTGAAAGCCAGTCTTCGTTATTGATAATGATTTTTACAACAGTTCGGTTTTTTTGGTTGCTGAACACACCTTCACCCCTCCACCCTCAAATATAGAACAAATTATATTTTCCATCTGACCAACTCTGCCATAACGCATTTAGGAGGGCGAAGGGAGGAGCAGAAGACCAAGGTATAAAAAGCTGTAGCAAGAAACATTGGCAGTTTTCTACAGGGGTTTCAAGATACTTGTGGAAATTCGGTTAGTGTCAATCTCTCAACAATAATTTTTTTCTTCACTCTAAAGTAACTTAATACTAAAGCTGAACCACTAAAAGAACTGTCTGATACCAAACCAACATATTTAGTCTGCTTAACTGCACCAGCCAGTGAATTCTCTTCATAAATTCTAAAGTTTAGACTAGAAGTGAAGAATATATAGCAGAAAAACACTGTCATGTTTACTTTGCTTTCTAAGCCTGTTAGCATTCCCAAAAGGATAGCATTTCGTAGAATCATAGAATAGTTAGGGTTGGAAGGGACCTCAATATTTTGTTTTCAATTCCTCTGCTAACTATTTTCACCAGTTTATCAGTGTGATAACCAAGTCAATCCACTGATTACAGTAATAACGGCCACAAAACTCCTAGAACCAGCTGTGTTAAGACTCAGATCTGTGTCACCTACGCAGTCATGTATGACCAAAACCACTCAGAGACACTAATCAAATGCAACTGCTAGCACTTTTATCAACTTGAAGAACTGAATTTTCCATAGGCATGTTTTAACAGCATCTTCAGTAAAGATCAGAAGACACTAAGCCCCAGAGGACAAGAGAAGGTAGAACATTCATTTCCAACATGATGTAGGGCAGACAAAAAGCAAAGACTCCTGGTGCCAAGTATTCCCACAGGAACCCACACTGCACCTCTGCCTGTACTCAAGTCTAGCAATCCTGGGAATGTCACATTATGAAAAAAGGTTCCTTACCAGGCTGTTTTCCAGGTGGCTTAGTGTAACGCTACAGAACACCATCTTTGTTACACACTAATGTGTCTTACAGTATCCTGTCTATCCCCACACGTAAGGAAGTGGCCTGTGACGTAGAAGACAATTAATTCTGAATGGCAGGACATATTCATAGAATCATAGAATGGTTAGGGCTGGAAGGGACCTTCAAAGGTCATCTAGTCCAAACCCCTTGCAAGGAACAGGGAATTAAAAAATAATTCATTATTCCATTAAAATATTCCATTAATATTCCATTAAAAAATAAATGGTAAAACATGGCAGTAATTCAAAAAGCGCCTTAAACTTTTGAAAAGTCAACAAATAACACTTCCTTTTTGACTAGCAAAAGAGAGACTCATTAGCTACCATTTCAGAGAACATTAAAATAATGCAATACTACATCGTAGTGAAGATGCATTTAGAGAGGAAAAAAAAGACACTGAATGTTATTCACTGCATAACTTATTTTTGCAAACTATTTTTTCTCTAAAAACATCTCCATCCCAAAACGCTCTTCGCCATCTGTGTAATTACCAATAAAAAGTCCAAAGCTGTCAGAAGTGGCTGCGCATCCAGACTTTATAGTCCACCAAGGCGCAAGGCTTTCGCCTAAAGCAACTTATAGAATTATGCAGAACTGGAACACTGAAATGTGTCTGTAGTAACTCATTATACTCCCCAAAAAACGCCTTTTGAAATGAATTGCAATGATTTGAAAAACTAATATCTCATATGTGCTAAGTTTTTATGTGAAATACTTAAGAAACAAAGTAAACAAAACGTGGGTATATACTAGATCAGAAACGACTTTGTTTCTTTTTATTAAAAAGTTTCTCTACCACCTGAGTGCAAGCTACTCCTGAAAGAACAGTAAGTTCTGAAAGCAGCGTTTTCTAATTCTTTTTAATCTGCTATTACATCTTTGCCATGGTACCTTGAATGCTGGCTGAAGTACTGCTTCTGGCATTGGTGACAGAGCTTGTCTCTAACCCAGTAATACAAAACTCTCAACTGAATGGAGTCAAGTATAGACCATATGAAGGTTTTACCTGGCATCTATTAGCCTGAGTCATCAGCATAATTAGAGCTGCTAATTTCTGCTGTTGCTTACTGCTTCCCTAATCAGCTAGATTAAATTGATACAATTCTTGAAAAACTTACCTGTTCCAAATGGTCTAAATACCAGGAATGAGGTCGTCAGTAGGTCTGAAATATTGCAAACAATAAAGACCTAGTGTTGTACCTTTAGATTCAGAAATAATGCTGAGGGTTTTTAAGGCAGTGGCTTTTTAAAAAGCAGAAGGACGACCTGTTCTTGAAGAGCTGAAATTCTAACGTTACGAGTGGTTTCAATACAGATTTCAAAAAACTGCAAAAGAATAACATTACAATAATCAAGACATTCTGGCAAACGTCTTTAAATTTTAAAGTTGCAGATAGCATCATTATAAACAATTGAAAACTGACTGCCTCTTGACAGAGACCATTCTGCAATTTTAAAAAAGGACAAAAAAAGGCAAATCTAACTAGGAAAGCTTCAGGGCAGGACTGTGAACTTCAAGAATGGGAAGAGAAAGAGTTAAAACTGCTTTACAATTTGATTATCCAATTGGCTTTTGGCAGCTTAAGGAAAGAGATAATAGTCTTTTGATGAACTTGAGGTGATTCTTCTGCAGAATAGCAGCGGTTTTTCATAGGCACTGAACTGGTCAGACCTAAGTGCACGGGACAAGAAGCTGTGCCAGAAGTATAACGGTCCCTTAAGAAAGAAAAGTGGGAAGTCACAGAATCACAGAACGGTTTGGGTTGGAAGGGACCTCAAAGATCATCTCGTTCCAACCCTCCTGCCATGGGCAGGGACACCCTCCACTACACCAGGTTGCCCAAAGCCCCATCCAACCTGGCCTTGAACACTGCCAGGGATGGGGCAGCCACAGCTTCTCTGGGCAACCTGTGCCAGTGCCTCACCACCCTCAGGGTGAAAAATGTCTTCCTTAGATCTAATCTAAATCTGCCCTCTTCCAGTTTAAAGCCATTTCCCCTCGTCCTATAAGCCACTGCCCCTTGTCCTGTAAGTCCTCCCAAACCTGCATGCACAAATTTTTCCACTGCAGTTTCTGCTCTACAAAAGGATACGCAGGTGAGCTGCTCTGAAGCAGAAAAAGGCAAATAAGTTTCCAAGATCTTCAATAGCAAGATAATTTCAGTTCTACAGGTAGATATGCTTCCTCCCTCTGACTTTAACTTGCATACTGACTGAGAACTGTCTATTAAGGATTTGCAGACTTTGATACACAAAAAAAGGAAAGCAGATTTTGCAACAAATCTCAAAAAGATTAGGACAGCAGAATGCATCACACCCTGAACAACTTAGAGATTCAATACCATAATCTAGGGAAGTATACAAGGGAAAAGTTCATAGAATCATAGAATGGTTAGGGCTGGAAGGGACCTTCAAAGGTCATCTAGTCCAACCCCCCTGCAAGGAACAGGGATATCTCCAATTAAAAACTTTCACATGAAAGACATGGAGAAGGGTACACTTAACTGACGTGCTCGCAAAAAAGTTCATACATTTACTGATGGGTGTGTTTCATCACTTGCCACAAAGGGCTGAAAAAGTAGAAATCAATCAAATTTCACGTGTAACAAGTTCACCTTTTTGACAAGTGCGAAGATACACGTAGCAAATTCATCACGGGATGCCTGGAGACTGAACTTTGCCATGCCATGCTACATGACAAACAGAAAACTACGTAACACTGGATAGCTCATGGGTCAGAACCAGTGTATGGACATTAAGTTGGCCACTGCTGTCTACATACAATTAACACATCAAACAGATGCCCCATTCTCCACTGACTTCCTGCTTGGAACAGCTCATTATTATAAAAAAAGCTAAGATTTACTGATCAGAACAAATACTTATTCAAGGTCTTGAATTACTAGAAAGAAACTCTACGTCTTCAAGAGTGAATCCACCATCTTCGAAAAGCTGGTGCTTCTTACACCAGCAACACGCAGGTCATAAGGCAACATTCACATGTTTTACCTGTTTAGGGGTTCCTGAGGCCAAGAATGACTCCCCAGAAAGTCAACATTGCTATGTAGTCAAAGAATTCCTGATTTTAATCTATTGCAACGCTGTATAAAAAGATTTTAACTTACAAATCAGCCTACCCACACTATCTTTATACAAGTAATTAACCATAGGTCACATCCCTGTAGCTTCTCTTGCTACAAATGTTTGCTTCCCCATAGTGAACAATTTTGCAAAACAACTAACCAGAAGTGATTGAATTCTCATTTTTATCTTCTATAAATGGTACGATTAAACCAACAGTAACACTGAACCTTACTAACTTTAAATTTTCCTACTGCCAAATTCGAGCAAAGGCAACCTGCTTAACCTCTCCATGTCAGTTTCTCCATCTTTGAGATGAGATACTTATTTCAAAGAAAAGACTGTAAAACCTACACAAGTCAAAAATCACTAGGAAAAAAAATGATGCTAGAGCAGTATAAAGTGCAGTTCCACTCTGAAAAGTGACTCTTAAGAGTGGCATCGATTTTCAGGCTTTTAATTAAATCAGTATCAAGTTTGTTCATTCACAAGTAACAAAGCCTTCTTTCTCGAAACCATTAGCCTGTAGGTTAGTACAGTAAGCCTAAGTGAATTTTTCCACTTGAAGAGTACTGCCAGTATTAAAAATTAGGTAGGTTATACCAAAAGTTATTTATAAAAATAGTTAGCAGAAGTATAGTACTTGACTTTATTAGTTTGCACAGATAAATATCTAAATCCTTCTCAAAATCTGTAACAATGTTGGTCTAATTTTATCACAGCAGGAAGTCCCATTTTCTGCCTGAAAATGATACCTTTTGGCTTCAGAATGCCTTATTGTGAAAGAACCCTATCTTATGAAAAAGGTCCAAATTTATCATCTATTCATTATTTTATATATGTGCTTATGGTAATTTTTAGTACAGCTTAATTTTGAGTGGGGTCTGTAACACAGTTTTCATTCTTAAAATCAGCCACAACTCAAAACACTGTTAGCTCATCAATCACACCATTGTCAACATAAAAAAACCCACAAAACAGAATAAAAACCAAGTATGAATTCGTGATGGCACTGACACCAAATCCTGAAAGTCAAAATAGACATACACATTTGTTGGTAAAAGCTGATATTTTTATTTTTTTTATATACTTTTTTTCTTTACAAAGGACATTTTTAGAATTTCCTTTGAACAAGTCACTGCTCCACTGCTCTCTGTCACGACTGCTGGGCTTTACCTAGATACTATTTTAAAAATCTCTATTCCATATCTAGAAAACTCCTGCGTCAAGGTAACCAAATCAGATTTTAATTCACCAGCTTTCTTATTTCTAGGAGAAGCTACAAATGGAAAAAGTTTCTCAAATACACATAACCTCATGAAATCTTTCATGAACTGGAGAAGAAGAAATCAGGATTCCAAAACTTCTACTTAAATGCTGCTTAAATGCCCAGCAATTTACCAGAAACTCCAATATTATGTTTAAACAAGTTAAGAGAGAAAAGAAGCACAAAAGGCACCAAACTCAGCTCTTAAATCAGCAAATGTCTTGATTTTACATCATTTACTGGTAACTATAAACTATAGATGTGCTTCCAGAGCTAAGAATTTCAGCTTACTGGCACTGTTGCTGAGTAGGGTAGCACAGTACTATCTGTTTCAGAGGTGAATGTTCAGTAGCCTACTGGAATGGATCTAAAAAATGGATAAACCGACTCGCAGGTTAAATTACAACTTTGAAAGAAAAGCCGTGAAGAGTCCGTTTCTTTACGGATTGGATTAAAGGCTGTAAAGATCTGGAGGCCAGCAACGCAGCCACTCGTGTTAAACTATAGCTATTCCATTGAAATTTGGGAATTTCCACAGTGGTATGTCTAAATGTTGATAAACCTATTTCAGGCTGACAAGGAAGGGAAGAATAACAGGCAAATATTCCCTACAGTTGCTCCCTTCTGCGTGCAAACCCCAGAAAATGATGCAAGACTCTATCCTGAACGGAAGCAGTGTAAGCTCCTCTCAGCTGCCAGGTTTTATCATCACTGATGAGAATACTGCCTGTTTACTTACCTTGCAATTACTTTCTAAGACAGAACATACTTGTATTACATTACAAGCTTTTCATCCCTTTTTTTCTGGAGAGAATATTATCCAGAGCTACTCCAAGAATTTAGATTCTAATTGAGATTCACAGATCTGGTTAGGTTACTCTTCCCACAGACTCTCAGATGATGTTCACCAAAATAAACTAAAAAGTGCAGTGAAATGTATGTTGGGAATTAGTGAATAGAATTTACGCTTGGCACAATGTATGGCATATACTCTAACACGTTCCTCGACAACTTCCCACTTTCTAGGGCTTTTATGCCAAGGGAAATCCTTAACAGAGACTTCCCAGGATATTGTAGCAAAATAACTTCTGAGGGTGACACCAAGGCCATGTTGTTTCATAAGGTTTATTCATTCCAGTTCCACTTGGTAATAGGTTATTCATTATTTTCTGGCACCCTTCTATGTGGCACAGTTCTGAATCTAAATGGTAAAATATGCTAAGAAACATAAAAGTGGAGAGGAGAGCATAGTTTTTTTCCTCTTATGCTCGTGTTTAAAATCTACAACATCCTACCAAATTTGTCACTTCGCAGCTGAAGTGCTTCATTTCCATCAAAAGACTTTGTGAAAAAACTGACAAAGGTTTTGAGTCCAAAACAAGTCATAACTGTGATTTCTTCTTTTATTAATTTCTGGAAAGGAAACTGGATGTTCCTGCTGCATGATCATATAGATCTCCAATTACACGCGAAAACGGAAATCAATATTTTTGATACTGAAGCTGACTCACAAGGCATCTTCCTTTTCTCAAGCACAAAATACATCCACCAAGTTTGAAAGGCTCTAGTGAATTTTAATTAGATGGTATTAGTTACTGATCCCTTATTTCCTATATGCACTTGATACACAGCTGATAGCGTTGCTGAGTTACTGCTCGGTATCAATTTCAGAGGAGAACTGCACTTTGAAGAAACAGTAAACAGCAGAATGCTTCAAAAATGCATACAATTCTATACATCCACCTTCACAAACAACAAAAGATTTACAACACTTCTTAAACAGACCAAGTTTAACAGTCATATTGATCTGAGAGAAATTAAGTACTTTAGCTCAGGACCCGCTTCATTCCAAGTAGTGCGGCTTGAGACTATTAGTTATTTCTTCGAACTGAAAGTCTGTAAACGTAGCTGAGATATTTGGAAGGATTTATACAAATGGCTTTGCTCACCTCGCACTGTCAGCTTGCTATATAACTGGGAGTTCATTTCCTTGTCTCTCTTGTAACGTCGAAATTCATCAACGGCTTCCCGTGCCACCGTGACCGTCAAAACAAATCCCTGTTCAAGATATAATTATGCAATTCAGAATTCTCAGAGTGCCAAAATAGAAACACAAGTAGGAACACTATACACAGTAAGAACATGTGCTTAGAATATTTACTTTTTTTTTTCCTCATTTGGATTTTGGTATTTTCTGCAATCTGTTAAAATAATTCGGTTTGAAAAAAAAAAAAGGAAAATCATACTTGCACATTGTACAAATATGATTAGATAAGGTTCTAGACTATCTGCCCAGCTTCAGACACCCACCAATACCTTCCTTCTATAGAATAAAATTTACACCATTATACTTCTTTTCTTGCAGAAGTCCCAACCTTCCCCTAAGCTCCCAGCAATAAGAAACGAGTGAAGGTGCAGAGTTTTCATAAAGGAGTCTTGACTATCTCCTTTCCAACAGCAAGGGCTGTTTTGCAGTTGCAGTCCCAAATTCCAAGGCTTACCCCGTTGCAACCTTATAGTTAAACACTTCTCACTTGTTCAGGTTTACATTAGCTACAACAATGATATTACAACTACCCAGAACAAAAAAGTGCCTTTGCAAAATGCATTCCTTTTCACTCCTAGGGCATAACTGTAGGGTTTTCCCTTTTTCTGGCAGCAGCATTTTCACAAGCTTTAGCAGCACAGACATTGTAGCACCTCCGAATATATTTGCCCTTTGCAAATACCTTATTAACTAGACAGCAATCAAAGCACAGAATGCAAGGTGTTAATTGCAGGAATTTCCCCTAGTGGCCACCACACCTTGCTGGGCAGCTCAGCGCAGCTCACTGTGACTACAAGGAAATATTTAAGACAGACATTTCCCTTTTTCTTCATTTGCTCAAAGGAACTTGACACTCTTCCAAAGAGGAGCTGAAATCGTGAAGTCAATCTTACAAAAAACCCCAAAACTGTCATCTTTCTCAAACTGTAAGCAGTTAAATATCTTTAGTACACTGCTTACAATCAAACCTGTATGCTCCACATCCTTGGTATGTTGGGCTTGAAATGAGAAGTCTGTTCCCTACTGGGCAAATGGGATCAAAGTAGGAAAACACAGTCTTGTTTGAAGAACTCCAGTGCTTGATCTAAGTGTATTATGTCTGCCTGTTGTAAAAACTGCTAAAGCAAAAAAAACCACCTAAGAAATACACAACCAAAAAAACCCCACGTATCACCAAAAAAACACAAAAACCTTTTAGCACATAGTCAACTTCTATTCCGTTGGTTTTATGCATCAGGTCAAACAATGTTTTTTTTTTTCTTTAAAATCTTGACAGAAAATACAAGCCAGGTCATAGTTAGTCCTCTGATTATTACTGAAAATTTATCAGCTGATACATGATCTTCAGAGAGAACCAAACTTAAACGTTAAGCAACCAAGACAGCCCACTGGGTCTGACTTAAATGTTTTGTATTTTCATCACACATACTGAGCCTTACTCAACATCCAATTCATCTCTTCTACCTGGAGGTTAATCATCAGTAGAAAAGCTATGCAAGTAGAAACAAGTGAGTTCAGCAAAACAGGGAACCACTAGCACTAAATGAGATATTGTGTTTTCAAACTGTATGGGAAAACTGGGAAACAGCATTCAAAACACCCTGGAGTAAGACAAACACATCTATACAGAACAGATCACTGGTATTTGCAGAATACAGTATCTTCTCCCAGTGATGAGAAGGACTGAGATGTTAAGTGATTTTTTTTTCCTTACTACCTCACTAACATATAGAGCTGTACACAGCACTTCCCTGTGAAGAGACCAATTTCCAGACCAGACCTACTCCTGTCTTTTCTTACTGGGTCAGTGAAAAAGAGCTTTGTAAATATCCATTTCAAATCCCACTGTTGAACAAGCTTTCTGTCTTGGAAGTGTTTTTTTGACACAGCAGAAGCCAAAAGTCGCCTGGAAATAGAGGTGTGAAGAACCTCCAGGACAGTCTCTTCGTTCATCAATACTTAAAAGGACACATGTTGCAACAATTAAAACAATGAAATCGATCCAGAATATTTACTCTATTGACTTGTTAAGAATGACCTTTACTCAAGCAGTCAGCATGTCACTGTTTCTCTTCAATATCACTGAGAATAAATGCTACTGAAAAATACCATTTTTTTTTATAAATTTAGAAAATAAAGCATTTGTTCTTCCTGCCTTGCTTTTAAATCTAAGGTGGAGGGGCCGGGAGGAAGATGAAAGAGAAGGCAATGATCTGGTTACAAACAAGAAAAGAATTCCAAATCATGGAACTACAGCTGGCAGACTATCAAAAGGGTCTCCTCTAAAGAGAATACAATTTTCAAACCTTAGGAAACATGAATTAGAAGCAACTGGTTTGAATGGTTTCCCAAGAAAATACTCCAGAGGGCTCAATAATAGTAAGACGTTCGGAAGCCAGTGCAACTGGCAGGGTAATCCATTAGGAAAAGTGTATTTAATGAGTAACTTATTTTCACTACACATTTTCCTCCTGGTTTATCCATGGCTTTAAAATATTTCATGTGAAAAAAGGACATGATCAAAACCAAAACAGAAGGAACATAAAAAAATCTACGCTTTCAATTCTGACCTAGCCTGAAAACATGAAATAGTGAGCAAACAGCAACAAACTCCAAGAAATTTAACACACGAGTTCCCTGTGTTACCAAATAAGGTTCTCTACTAGCTGAAGGGTTTTTTGGTTTGGTTAAAAAACCAACATCCAGCCTGTGGGGCAGGAGAGGGGTAGAGGTGGTGGGAGGGAGGGCTATCAAACAACAGCTTCCGGAGTATCAGACGGAAAATACTGTCATTTCAAATCAGCATTTTACTTCTGTTACATACTTTAATCACTGTAGTTTCCCAGATGCAAATTTATGAGACGTACGTATACATGAACTTTCCATCTGAAGTTAAAAAACCCCAAAACTTCTAGTTAATAGTATTTTTCTGTTTACCAGAGGAGCCCAGTACGTGTACAGGTAGCCTATTTTCAATGCTGGTACAAACTGTGAGCAGGACACGACGAGAAAATAGAGATTCAAGAAAAACTTGAACTGTTCATATAAAACCTAAAATGAAAAACACAAAATAGATAAATATCTTAAAATTTTACCCATAACATACATAAAATTCACTTTTGCATGGCAGTAGACATAAAACCATTCTATGGCATGGTACTATTAGAGTATTATATAACTCAATATGCTATATATCATCACAAACTACTACATGTGCTATAAGTTATTTTAATATTATACTGCTATCATTGTTGAGAAAAACTCTTTGATATTAATGCTTATTTTCACTTTGAAAAAGCAATTTGCTAAGTTTGTGATATTTTTGAAAACTGGGCTATGTGAACTCATCTATCTTCACAAATATTAAAATGTATATAAAGATCACTGTGCAAAGATTTACTCTGAAATGTTAACAGTAAACAGAATTCAGATGTTTGTAGAAGCATCTTGGAATAATTTTATGTCCACAATAGCTACCTTTAAGTTTATGATTTCAAATAGTTTTTGAAAATTTTCTTTTTTTTTATAGTATCAATTAAAAAAGCAAAGTAAGTTTGTGAGCACCTGAATTCTCATTGCTTACATCAAGTTTTCATTTTAAACTGCCAAAGCTTTTCTTCCTAAAAATACAGCACTAAAAGTAAGTCTTAATTTTTCCTTAAGTACCAATACTTGAAGCCTGTTTTAGCTGTCTCACCATGTCTTTCTGTCTTAAAAATTTTCATGTCCTGGCCTTCAAAAAAATAATCCTTGGCATCGAACAAACAGAAACCCTTTACAAGAATTTTACCCTGGTCTTTGCCATATGAACTGCTGCAGAGTAACAACACCAAGTAGGCTACACGAACTCCTTGCTACTTTTGTTCACCCTCCTCAACGCAGCCACTGATGTTTCTCCTCTTGAGGAGCTGGAAGCTCTACAGCTCGTCCGCCTTCTTTCCCAAGTCCTTTGGTTCTCAAGGGACAAAGGCTACCATCGACTCAGCCAACACTACCGTTTCCCACTGTTCTTAAAAACAGCAAAACTACTCAATGGTCAAGAATAAATTTTGTTTAGGAGGATAAAACAAACGTTACAGAAAAGATCCAGTGAGTAAGATATGTTTTTTAATAAATCACGTGTTAGGTCTAAACTCCAAGATAATTGTTCAAGTTTTAAGTGAAGACACAGTAACCTTATCACAGGTTACACTGTCCCATATTCCAAAGGAATGACAGATGCAGAGATTCCTTTGGTACTTAAAGGCACCACTTCAGCAAGTGCATGTTCTCAACGTTGCTTTGGTTCTAACGACCATGCTAAGAACATGATTCACTTTACAGAATTCTGAATCTTCAAAGGCTTCACGTACTTCTTCAGTAGGCCAGGATAACATGGCACCTCCAGCAGGACGATCGGAAGTGGCTACCAAACTTGGAACACTGAAGCTTGAGAAAGTAGATAATCATAGAATCATGGAATGGTTTGGGTTGGAAGGGACCTCAAAGATCATCCAGTTCCAACCCCCCTGTCATGGGCAGGGACACCTTCCACTACACCAGGTTGCACAAAGCCCCATCCGACCTGGCCTTGAACACTTCCAGGGATAGGGCATCTACAGCTTCTCTGGGCAAACCTGTTCCAGTGCCTCACCACCCTCAGAGTGAAGAATTTCTGCCTTATATCCAATCTAAATTTCCCCTCTTTCAGTTTAAAGCCATTGCCCCTTGTCCTGTCTGTACACACCCTTGTCCAAAGCCCCTCTCCAGCTTTCCTGTAGGCCCCCTTTAAGTATAATCAATTGTTTCAAAGCTAAAAGATTCAAAACAGATCAAAAAGCCACATTTAGAGTGTCTCCATCTTCTGATCTTATAATTCAGTTAATATTACAGGGACTTCTGCATGAAAATTGAAGTTATTGGACAGATGTTTATTCCTCTCATCAGTCCAACGTTATTACTCAATTACATAAAAACCTAAGCTCTAGGAAAAAATATTCAGCAAAGTTTGTTTCAAAGTGTCTTTCTGGCAGGTACAAAGCAGCAGTACCTCAAAATTGCCAATTTCTTGCCAGAGTCCTACACTACTGTTCAGTTAAAGGCTACCTAAGCAGTTTCAAATCAGAAGTTGTTTTCAAAAGTATGGAATTCTACTCCGCTATTTACCAACAAAACTGTAAAGCCAAAAAAAGTCCAATTTGAAGTTTCAGGGCAAGTCAGAAAATGAAACTAATTCAGCTTGAACCTGTACCTTATGTTGATACTGGTGAAATCCATATACTCATTTCTAGCAGTATGTTCAACTGTTTACAAAGACTTGACATATCAGGTCAAAGAAAAGTCCACAGAGGACTTTGGGGGTGCAGATCTACAAGAGCACCCAGAGGAGGCTGGAGCTGAACAGCACCTTCCTACAGATCTTCTGAATCCTGGCAGACCACTGGCAGTTCATTCAACACAACGCTGAACACTTCAGTTTAGTTAAGCAAATGGAAAAGGCTCCAGTTACATGAAACTGATTTAAAAAAAAATAGAGAACTGCTTTGAAGATCTTAAAAACGTGCCCATCACAGATGATATCTGTTACAGAAATTTACACAAAATTCCTAGACAGCTGTACCAAGATGTGTATGAAATAGTAAACTGAAGAACTGGTAGTAAATGTAGAAGTAGGAAATGTTTTACATAAATGTTAGGAAATTAGATGATACTTTGGAAAGGTTACAGCTCTTTTAGCCAGTAAGTAAAATTCTGCTAATTGAAACATTATTTTAAGTTTGTATTTTCACATGAAATCATTGAATTTTACCTGTTGACAACTGTGACGAGAGATACATCTCTCAACAGAACACAAAACTTCACAGGATGAAAATTTCAACCAGGATAAATCTGTGGAGTTTGTATTTACGACTTAGCTACAGTTACGGGTTTGGAACCAATGCGCCCCACAAATGACTTCTAGTGGAACAGCATAAAAACCAGATAGCAACACAGCATTTCTAATCAATGAAAAGTGTTAATTTATGTCTATAATAAAGTTTACAAACATTTTATTTTCTCTAACTACTAGGCTTTACATTCAGGATCTCACTTCATTTTGAAGTTACTGCTGAGTTTCCAAGTACTACCACCAAAATAAAAATCTGATTCTGTTTATAATGTAAAAAAACAAGATTTCGAAAGAGTAAAAAAAGAACAAACATTCTCAACAGGTAATTGCAAACTATGGCTGATCCCTACAGGAAACATGAATTTAGTTTAGGATTTGTAATCTACACTGCAGATTTCTAGTCACAATAATCAATGGATTACTATATGCTAAATGAATTTTGTGGCCTTTAGGAAAACATATGTGGCTTAACCAATTTCAGTGCATTTAATAATTTAAACTTTGGAAGAAGACATTTACTTCGTTCAATAGAGATGAGAATACTTTATCCACCTGTGGTAAGCGACATTTTATTTCTTTGACAGGAGATCAGTCTTAATTATGAAGCCATTAATTTTTTTTGTTTGTTTTAATAAAGAAATGTATTAGAAAGCATCTGCCAGTCATTGGACCAAAGAGGCCAGAAGAACAGAATCGATACTCCTATAAGCCAGCATGAGAACTTAAATAAAAAATTTAGGACAAAGCACATCTGTATTTAAATGTAGAAGACATTCAGAGACACGGGACTCTTGGATGGTGTTAGTAGAAGTAGGAGTAAAAGCTTATTAGTAGAATGTATAATATCACAGCAGCATATATTTTTAGATTTTAACTACTGAAGCTTCAGAAGTTGTCTCCTCTATTGCTGTATTTCATTATAACAATGAATTTTTTCTTTAAGTATGAACTAGACAAAACTGTAATGTCTCCTTTGTCTTCATACACACTGAACATTACGGGAAAAAATTGAAATTACGACCCACTCTGGCTTCTTAGCAAAAAAAGTGACAAGAAAACTTCCACTCTGCAACAAAAAAAGTCTTGCCAGAAGACTTGAGTCCAAAACCAAAGAGACATCACTGTTTTTAAAACTGCAATAAGAAATACACCTCTGAAAAGTACTAGTTTATTAGCTAGTTATTGTTTTTGTCCTTTAAGGAGCTGCCTGTTTCAGAATACACTATTTATTATGCTTTCAGTGGCAGAGAGTATAAGAAAATATATATGGGAGTACATTGCAATTTTCAGCTATTTATTTCTCAATTGAAGTCAGTGTTTTGTAGTATTTTCACAACTGACTGTGTAGAAGTGCTTCTGTTTTAAAAGAGGATTAGAAATTTCTAATGGTGAACAGAAAAGTGCAAGGAAACCCATCTCAAATTTCTACAGCTTCACCGAATTCCAACCACTCAATCATACACACTGCACTTCTTCAGCAAACACCCCTTTGAAAACAAAACAATTTCGGAAGAAAAAGCAGCCTTGCTCTCAACTGTCAATTTTAATTGAAGACATTGAGACAAATATAAAAAGAAACAGAAGAATCTGGGCAAATAAAATTATCTTTTTGTAGAATTGTCAAAAACACTACAGAACATAGAGTCAGCCCAACACCCAAAAATGGTTAGTAGCCTTACCCCAGGTATAAAGGTAAAGATGTTGTATTTTTGATTTTTTATGGCATTTTTGGGGTATTTTTCTTCACACTTTTCAGGACATCCCAGCCACACCATGCGAGCCTTCAGCTCTTTCTTTCTTCGGCAAATATTTACGAGCCAATCAAAACAACTGAAAAGAAAAACAATTGTTTACTTTAAAACTAAAGACTTGCTGTATGCGATCACTGTTTCCCAACCTGGAACTCTAAAGGCAAATATCTACGAAAAACACGTTTACAATTTTTTGTCACACTTCAATAAGCAAACATGATGTTGACTTGCAATATTTAGGGCAATTACACAGTACTCAATTCAGAAATATACACATATAAACACCTGCACAGTCTTTACAGGAAATCCTAACAAAATAATGACGAGTTTCACCTTGCCCTGACACAGGTTCTAGCTAATTAATTAGCTAAAAATTCTAGCTAATACAAGTCTGCATTAGCAGTGTCTAAATTCCCCCCACTGTTAAATAATTAACTCATCCATGGTACCCTACAGTCCTTTAGCTAAATTCTTTATCTTGTACTACTGATCCTCAAATTATGCTAATGATTGAGAAGGAAATAAGACTTCTGTTAGGAGAAGTTAGAAACATTTCAACAGCTCCGTCTACAATCGCCACATAATTTGTAAATCTTGGTTTCCTCCACAAGACTGCCTATAGCAGACACAAGAAGGAAGGATGCCTAATCACAGAATGACAGAATTTGGGGGACTGGAAGGGACCTCAAAGGATCATCTAGTCCAATCCCCCTGCTGGAGCAGGACCACCTAGATCAGATCACACAAGAACGTGTCCAGGCAGGTTTGGAACCTCTCCAGAGAAGGAGACTCCACAACCTCTCTGGGCAGCCTGTTCCAGTGTTCTGTTCCCCTTACTGGGAAGAAGTTCTTCCTCATGTTTAAGCAGAACCTCCTATGTTCCAGCTTACAACCATTTCCCCTTGTCCTATCGTTGGATGCCACTGAGAAGAGCCTGGCTCCATCCTCATGACAGTCACCCTTTCCATATTTATAAACATGAATGAGGTCGCACTGTCAAACAAACCAAACAGAAAAAAAGAAACCTGATGGAAACGAGGTGAACTTCCATTCACAGGAGAAAGGAAGAACATCCTTTCCTAACCAGTTTAAAATCTACTGAAGAGGGTTTCCACTATGAGCAGTGAGACAGACGGGAAGAGCTCACAGCCACTTTTCAACTAGTGCAATTTGGACAAGGACACTGGAATGATGGGATGAGACTCCTCACATAATATAATCAGCCTAGGACTATACACAGCGGCAGATTATTAATGGAGGTGAGTAGGGATGGTTTGGAAAGAACTGGTCGTGCGGAAAGGAAAGTGGGTTTGCCATACACTGTACATACTTGGTTCACCATCCCGTGTGCTGAAGGAGAAGGTGCCTTAATCATGTTGGGAGCCTGGTTTAGGCAATTGAAGTGGGAAGACAACAGCCTTCCGTGAACACCTACTGCGCCCAAAGCACAGACCTAGCTGGTCACAGTGGGCTTCAGCTACATCACCAGATGAAGCTGAAGGTGAAGGAAGGCGACACGTTTTCTAGTGAGGTTCTTGAATATATTGACTGGTTTTGATACATAAAAACCAACCTAACGATTAGGAAGCTCTTAGAAATTGTATTCAAGTCAACAGAAAGAATTTTGCTGAGAACAGGAGCGGAAAATTATGATCCAGTCACCTCAGCATTGCTTCCTGGATGAATTCTGTGTAGCCACCTAATTTGTATGTATTTGTACACACCTGAAAGAAAACTGAAAGTCTTAACCAACACTGACGTGTCAAGAGTGACCTCTAAAATGGTACTAATTTCCCTCTGAGAAGAACCAGAGGCACTACTGCTTGAGAGTATGTGTACTCCTGGGGCTTTGAGCACCCTCAACTAGTGAAAGATGCCCCTGTCCATGGCCAGGGAGGTTGGACTACATGATCTTTAAAGGTGCCTTCCAACCCAAATCATTCCATGATTCTATGTCTCTAATAAAACATAGCTTTCAAGATATTTCTCATAAGGAATGTAAAGAAACATATGCCCCTCGCTTTAAGAGAGATATCGAGCTCC